TTTTTTTTTGTCTTTGTGTCATCACAGCTACAGAAAACCGATCCAGAGAAAGAGAAAGAGAATGGGACAGAGAAAGAGAACGGGACCGAGACAGAGACAGAGGCCGAGACCGGGCGACAACATTAGAGGTTCCAGATCAGCAGAGGCCAACTCAGTATCGCTCACGGTCCGTGTCCCCACACAGAGATGAAGAGAGCAGGGGACGGTCCCGCCCAGCCAACGTCCCTGCACAGAGGTATGTCCCTAGCTATTTTTTAGGATTTATCATTTATCAAATAATTGTAACCTGCATTAAACCCTGTTTTCTCTCTAAGGAGTCTGGATGAGGTCCAGCACAGCCGGCGATCCCGTTCCCCAACACGCAACCACGACCGTGCCCGTGTGCAAGAGAGAGAATACGTAGATGACAGGTAAATAGAAATTTGTGGGCCCAAGCAAGTGTGAACAAGTGTGCCTTAGTGTGTGCTAAAAGAATAATCACTTCCATGTGCCTTCATTTTCTTCCATAAAAGTACTGTTTCTGGAATGCCTTTAAAATGAGTTTTTGGAAAGAGAAATGACGTTTTCGAGACTTGCTAACCTACAAAGGCCTTACACCATTTTCAGAAGGTGGGTTAGAGCCAAACCACCAGTGATTCATGGAAGGTTTGTTTTGAAAGGATTGAGCATCACTGAAGGGTTTGAATGGACAGAGATGATCGTACAGGAAGACACGTCTTTTTAACCTTTGTGTATTGTTCTGGCTTTAAAGGTTGTTACCCTTCCTCTTCTAACTCACTTACTGGTGCGCATTTTTTCTTTTATGTTTGCTTGTTTTTTGTTCTGTTTTGTTAATTTTCTTAAGTGTCCTCCATCTCCATGGTAATTGCAGTAAGGTCATCTTGATACACAGATCAATGCGGGGTGGAAGCGCAGAGTGTCTGCACACCCAAAGGTAAAGAAAAGGCCAGAATTGAACCACCAGTCTGTGAATTATACCATTGTTATATTTAGATTACTGTGTAAATCAATGTAATAATAATCTTGGTCTCATAAGCACTGGTAATATCATTTTCATTTTGAAAAGACTCCTTGTATCTGGATCGTTCGCAGCCTGAAGTTTATTCCATTTAATTAAAGCAGCGTTGAGTGTTGATGCCAGTTTCTCTCCCCAAACACTTCTTGTCAAGCTCTTCGCCTCTCCACTCTAATATTTCAGAGCAGCTCATTGACAAGAAACTAGCGGAACTTTCCACTAGCTTTTGGCGTATAGCGTGAATTTGCCATTAATATCATTCACATACATTAAAGGACACTCTTAGAATGTTCCTTTGTGATGCCCTTTAAACACAACAATCACTGGGTCTTATTTATATTGTGTATACACATACACATACACAACACACATACACAATATATTTTGCTTAAAACGAGTGTGCAAACACAGAAATCAGAATTGTTTTTAATCTAGGATAACATTTTAGATCAAACTAAAACACACATACAAATCCTTGTTGCATTAAAACATGAAATTTGCTAAGTTTATTGTTTATATAAATTATACATTTAAAAAGTTTGGGGTTGTTAGGGTTTATTATGTTTTTGAAATAAGTCTCTTAAGCTCATAAAGGCTGCATTTATTTGATTAAAAATACAACAAATGCAGTAATATTGTGAAATAATATAACTGTTTTCTAAAATGTAATTTATTCCTATGATGGCAAAGCTGAATTTTCAGCAGTCGTTAGTCATTACTCAAGTCTTGGAGTAAAGTTGGAAACAGTTGAGCTGCTTAATATTTTTGTGGAAACTGTGATGTTATTTTTTTCAGGATTCTTTGATTATTTAATTATTCTTATTATTCAAATTATGCTAATGCTAAATGCTAGCATATTCTCCCTCGTTTAGAATAATAGACTCAGAATAATTTTTTTTTGTAAATATGTCAAATTTTCCGTGAGAACTTTTTTCTGAGCACATACTGTCAAATTAGAACACTTACTGTATATGCAATTATTAGTGAATAAAACCCAGTGTGTCTATGTTAATGTTAATGTCAAAGTGACATACCACCATTGGGTCACCCACTTTGCACTGCTCTGTTAGCGTCCAATGACTCTTATGGCCTGATAGCTCTGTTTTGCGTTTTTGGGAGCATTAATCCAACCACTGTAGGTGGAGAATTGTCAAAAATGAGTCCCCTGAATCTGTGCATCTTCTTGTATGTTTGAGATTATCATTGCCACAGTCTCTATATTGACCTCCCGTGTTTCTTCCATCTCCACGTTGAACTCTTTGGGTGTTTGTGGATCACACACGCACACACTCACGCAGGAGCACCCAGTCTCTGCCCCGTACCAGACCCACGAGCCCCAGGATCCTAATTCAGCATGCCTCCCCAGAAGACGACAGGTATCCCTCCTGTCCTCCAGTCCTTTTGCTAAACCACTCTGCTCTTCTAACCTGTCCGTCCCCCCTCTGCCATGGGACTAGATAGTGGATGTAGCTAACCCTCCCAGCCTTCTGTAGCTTCTGACCCAAAGCTTGTTGTGACCCGACCCCATGATTTTAGTGCTCAACAATGTGATTGCTAGTGTTTTGTAGATTTTCAGCAGCTCAGTAGCTTTAAAAATGTGGTGACTTGTGGCTTTTGTGGTGTGAAGTGTAGTGTGTTGTGTTACTCTGGATTTCATGAGGTTGTATTTTAGTCCTTTTTATCTCAACTCTTTCTGCAGATTATAATTTATTACATTGTTATTATCTTCTACAGTTTTATACTGATTTCTACAACAGTTTTTTTCCCCGTACTGTCTAGATACAGTCTCACTTACAGTGGCCCCAAAAAGTAAGTTAACACTTAAAAATGTATGAATATATTTGCATTATATAACAAAATATCAAACCAACTGAGATTTATTTTGAAGTAAAAATACCACAAGCTCACTTTTCAGGCAAAACCTATCACAAATAAGTAAAATAATTTGTTTGCAGATGCAAGTTAGTTTTATATTTTATATTTAATGCTGTGATATTCAGACATTTTAAGTGTCCAAATACATTTTGGGGGCACTGCATGTGTCTTCACTTATTTTCTCTGTATTTAACTGAAATTGTAATTATTTCAGAGGTTTTGTTTGAAAGTTTTCAGCGAATAAATGTCACATTTGTCATATGTGACCCCTGACGCATAAGTGTCAAGTGTCTGTGTTTCATATCATGCACAGATTGTCTCGTATATGTCTTACTGTACATGTTATTGTATGTTTTCCTTTTGTACCTAGCCACTAGTCACGCCAAAGTGGCATGATTCAGCCATAATGCAATTGTGTTTCATTAACATCAATCCATACTGTGTCATTGTGTGTCTGTGTCTATGTGTCCATGCCACTCATATGTGTTTGATGTGATCTTATGAATCAGCTGGGTTCTGGAGGCTATGTTCCCCGCTCAGGAGACAGTACACCACCTCAGTGCAAAGCCAGATGCACAGAGGTACACACGCATTGGACCAGTAGCATGTCCATCTCCATCATGGCATTTTATTAGATAGAAGTTTCATTCAATGTCCGTCCAGTCCTGAGTGAATCCACTCCTCATTCTTTTATTTTCTGTCTCGCCGCGATCATTTCCATCTTGCAGGCAGTTGAGAACTCTGGACAAGACTAGCTGTCAGAAACTTGGCAAGAAAATATCTGACAGTGAGCGGTAAGACTTATCAAACCATGTTATGTCCCATCACATTTGGATTGCCTGTTGATGGTACTTTAAGTCCTGCGTGTCCTATATAAAATACCTGTTTTAGACACAAATCACTTATTTCACACTGTACTGTGTTTTTTGATAATGATTAATAATTTTGTTCAATTGTTCCTGACCATTTCTACATTTTATACAAGGTCCCAAAATTAAAACACTGCCAAAGCATTTATTTACTTTCAGCAGTAAATGAAAGGTTTAATAGTTTTAAGAGTTTCTCACCAGTTGTTCATCATTTGTGAAAAATAACCAAAATGTATCAATTAAAATTTGAAAAAATTTGTTATATATATAATAACATTTTATAATATAATGTTTTTTTTTATTTAGTAATGGAGACTAATTCATCATAAATGACAC